GTCGTTCGCCCCGGGCGCATAGATGGTGGGGGGCGCCAAGGGGGGGCGATAAAAAAATGTCTGCCCCGGGCGCCCATAACTCTGGTTACGCCACTGGGTGGATGCACTATAAAAACCTTGGACACTATGGGGCCACCAGCATCTGAGCAACCAATGATGCTATGTGGCCTGTACAACACCACTGGTTGTTCAGATGCTGGTGGTCCCACCGCGTCATAGGTTGTTATGGTGCAGCCTGCTTCTGTCCTAGCAACCAATGATGCTGTATTGCTCAGCTACCAGTCATCCGATGATGCTGTGCGGGCTGCACAGTTTATGTGGTTGCTAGGACAGAGACAGTAATTTAGAGAGCAGGTGGGCAAACTAGGCAAATTGTTCAACCCTTCTGCAAAGAGCTTGGGTTATGGTTAGGCTGAGCCAAAAACGGGACAAGTTTTATGACAATATAGTAGATGTGTACAGTATAAAGTTTTGGACAAAATGAATTATTATGCAACGAGCCCCATCATCAGTGTCAGCTGGATGAGGGGGTTGGGTAATAGTGCACAGGGCAGCAGCCAGCTCATGGGTCACCATCTTGGGACCACTGCTATACAACCACAACTGGCTCCCTGCTCTCCTGTGAACAGTGGTTGCTATGGACAACATCTTTAAGTAGACAGGTGAGGCAGTAAGCATTCCGTGTTGTTGGGGAGATCACAGGACGATGGCGTTAGGGTTGCCACCAGTTCAGTTTTTACCCGGACAGTCCGGTTTTGGAGCCTGTGTATCCAGCCAGCGGGCACCCGGATGCAAGACACTCAGTCTCGACACCGGCACTTTTAAATTTCTGACAGATGTGCATCTGCCTGAAACCCACCTCAGAGTGCGCACAGCCCACCTGAGAGCCCGCACACCTCACCTGAAAGCCCGCACAGCCCACCTGAGAGCCCGCACAGCCCACCTGAGATTCTGCACAGGCCACCTGGAGACATCAGTGCTCCAACCCAGAACAACACAGAGTATCTAGCTTCATATTATTTTGTATTGCTGTATCATATATTGCTAGGACTTGTAGTCCTCTATAGCCGCTCTCCTTACTCCCTCCCCTGGCTGTCTCTTCTTGCTCTTTCTCATGGCTGCCTCTCTTCGCTTTCTCCTCTATATGCTCCTCCCAAAAAAAATTGTTGCGTGTGGCGATAGAGTGTTCAGGTTTCGCTTGAAGAAACGGTGGCAATCCTAGATGGCGTTGCTGGGAGAAGTTGGTGAAGTTACATAGCGTATCGCATTGTGCAGCCCTGCAATCATCCCATGATGAGTGAAGGATGGACTCCGGGATAACGCTTTGTGCTGCAATGGATCCAGTTCAGGAAAAGTTTGCCTTACCTTGCAGCATAGTCTCTAGCTTGTTCCGATCCACCCAAAATCTCTCCTCTCCCCACTCCGGATTGTGGAGGGTGGCTGGGCCGGGAGAGTGGGTGCTCCACTGGCGGTTGGAGCCTGGGTCCAACTGGTTCATGTATCCGCTCATGGGGTCACCCTGGGCCACCATGGTGGTGGAGGAGGAGGTGTGCGCCGCACTCAGCTCTTCCAGATCATATACGGGAAGATAGTGGCAAGTCCAGGAAGGAGGGGGGGCAACGAGGCAAATTGGTTCCGCAGATAGTGCCGCTCCCTGCCTCTTCCACCCGCGGTAGTAGTGACAGTACAAACAACTGTCACAGACTTTACTGCGGTTCAGTGTAAAAAAAAAAATGCCGTTTTTTTTTACACTGAACCTCAGTAAACTGTGACAGTGACAGCTGTATGTAGTGGTGGCTGTGCGATAATGTACAGGCGGCTGAGCGAGGATGTACAGGGGGCTGTGTGAGGATGTACAGGCGGCTGTGCAAGGATGTACAGGGGGCTGTGCAGAGATGTACACAGGTGGCTGTGCAAAAACTTGTAATCTGTAAGAATTGTTTCACCTGGCGGAGCCGGTACCGACTCTGCAGACACCACCAGGCAACCCCATCCCGCTGTGTGGGTCATTGTGAGGACCCTCTCTTCCGCTCCCTCCTCTACACTGGCTGCCAAGGACTCAGGAGAAAAAAGTGCTGCAGGAGATAGGTGAGGCTGGGGAGTCTATAGGTGCCCATACACTGCACGATTCTCGTACGAGAATCGCAGGAAATTCCGCGATCGTATGAGAATCGTGCAGTGTATGGAAGGCGTGCGACCGTTTCTAATGTACGGTAGCACGACTTTTGTATATCGAGCATGTTGGAAAACCAGGCAAGAATCGTACGATTTTCAGCTGGTTTTTAACATGATCGAGAGATCACTGCCGTCATCGGAAGCCCGGCCCTCAGGGGGGCGGGCTTTGATGATCGCAAGTACGATCTGCCTGTCCAAGATGGGCAGATCGTACTTTTTTTAAGTACTTTACAACCCTCGCAAGACAAAAGTCTTGCGAGGGTTGTAGAGTGTATGGCCACCTTGAGGGTGATGGCCGGTCCGGGGGATTGAGAGACTGTAGTTGGTATTCAGTATTGCTGCCTTGATGTATAATGTGTAGCTGGTGGTATTCTACATTTCTATGTAATTATACAGCAATACAGGATACCACCAGCTATACAGGACTACAAATTCCAGCAATACATTATACAAAACTGCAGTGGTGGATCTGGGGATCCTCCCACCCCCAAGAAAATTACAGCTCCCTCCGCCGCTCTGCTGGGCCACACCAAACAATCGGGACCCAAAGCAGAGGTCGCTCTGTAGTCAGGCAAATTAGGTGGCCGCCTCAGCCCACGCTGGGGCCTTGCGGCTGCCTACATAGAGTACAGACTGCCAAAGGCTGGCAACGGTGGAAAGATCCCAGAAGGACAGGCCTGGTGAGTGTGCTGCACCCAGGGGGGGAGAGCCCAAAGGGGGGCAGTGGACACAGAGGTGCTGGGAGAGGAGAGGGGTGGCACAGTAAAAGACAGAGAGACAGTGGCAGTGGAACAGTTGGGCGAGGGGGCAGAGGACACAGAGGCGGTGGTGGGAGAGAAGAGAGAAAGGGGCACAATACCAGTGGAAGAGCCAGATAGGGGGAGGGGAATGGACACAGAGATGGGAGGGGAGAGAGATGGGCACAGTGGCAGTGGAAGAGGCGGGGGGCAGTGGACACAGAGGTGGCAGTGAGTGAGGAGAGAGATGGGAATCCCGGCAGTGGAAGAGGTGGGGTGGGGGGCAGTGGACACACAGGGGCCAGTGGGAGAGATGGGCACAGTGGCAGTTGAAGAGCCGGGGGAGGGGCAGTGGACACAGAGGTGGGAGAGGGGAGCAATGGGCAGAGTGGCAGTGGAAGAGCCATAGGGGGGAGCAGTGGACACAAAGGTGGCAGTAGGAGAGGAGAGAGGTGGACACAGTGGTGGTGGTGGAAGAGGAGAGAGATGGCACAGTGGAAGAGCCATAGGGGGGTCAGTGGACACCGAGGTGGTGGTGGGAGAGGAGAGGTGGCATAGTGGCAGTGGAAGAGCCAAAGGTGTGGCGGTGGACACAGAGGTGGTGCTAGGAGAGGAGTGAATTGGGCAAAGTTGATGAGCCAGAGGTGGGTCAGTGGACACAGAGGTGGTAGTGGGGGAGGAGAGAGATGGGCACAGTGGCATTTAGAGAGCCACCCATGGCTGGCAGCGGTGGGAGGATCGCAGGGGGAGAGGTCAGGTGAGCTCTGTACGTCATAGCCAAGATGAGAAGTCAAGTGAGCTCAGTTCCCTATAGCTGAGATGAGAAGTCAGGTGAGTTCTGTACCCCATAGCTAGGAGTCACATCGCATTGGAGGTCAGGTGAGATCTGTACCCATAGCTGGCAGGGAGGTCAGGTGAGCTCTGTACCTATGGGAGCAAACAAAAAAGGAAAATGGGACAAAATTTACTTTTTTACAGAAACGACGGGACGGGGAAAAATGAATAAATAACGGTGCTGTCCTGTTCAAAACAGGACATATGATCAGCCTATGTATAGTTGAACTCATGGTCAACCTGAACCTGAAGCCCATCCCTATTTTGGATAACACTGTTAGAACAAAGCAGATAAAAAAATAATTGGAACAATTAGAATTTTAACATTTTAGAGGATATTTGCAATTGTAACTTAACACCTAATGATACAAAAGCAAATTGAATTCTAATATATATAAAACAAAATCAGCTGTCATTTTCTAGTACAACTTTAAAAAACCTGATGCAAACATTTGGTGGTTAGCCTAAGAAAAATATAATTTTTTTGTAATCAGTAAGATGAAGTGCAATTCTGTAGCCTATATGATAACATATAAAGTTTATATTTTGGGCAGAACAAGTGATTTGTATTCTATACAGTAGTTTTGGAAAAAAATGTAACTTTAAAGTGTATGTAAACCCTAGCATTGAACTTCTCTTATGTGTTCCCTCTTGGTCTGGTAGATATACCATTGAGAGCAGTTTGTTATATCTGTTTGATCTTTGTCAGAAATCCAGAGCTGTCCTGTGTCCCTTGTAGATGTCTTTTGTTATCCCAAAGAGGCTATTTAGCCCTCCTAGTTCTTATCATGGACTACAGAATGATTATCCTTTACGTTGTAGAGATATAAGAGTGATTGAGTAGTTTAGCGAAAGATGCTAAGAGGGCTGACACCACTCATTCCACAAAAAAGCTGCGTGTTTTCAGCCCACAACAGGGCAGGAGTGCATTTCTTGAAGATCAATAGATATTTTTCTGTACTTGCGGAGTCCTTAAAGGAATAAAGCACTTGAAAATGTGCATGTATTCAAGAGATGTTGCATACTTTTTGTTTGTTTATTTTGCTTCAACATACGCTTTAGCGTCTATGTGAGAGCGTTATTGCTCCAGCAGATGGCGATAGATTACCACCTAGAACGCAGTGTTTTCATTCCCTTTCTGTTTCAGCTATAACTTTTTTTGGAAAGTCCTGCTCAGAAGTCCAGTGTCAGTGAACTCCTCCTTAAACTGTCACTCCCTACAGCTCCAGAGCTCCTTCTCTGTCACTGCACCAAGGGGCTCTGATGTGGAGAGGCTGGGGAAAGGAGACTACTAGAAGAAGGCCATTTTAACTGACAAACAAATTGAAGATTAAAGAAGGGTCCAAGCAATTTGTTAAGATGCTGTACGTACGAAGAGGATTTGGGGATGAGAAGTCCCAGTTAAATGAATTAAACGTGCGTCTGGACCAGTATTTGTCTAGGGTAAGACAACTAGAAACAGAGAACCAGCATCTGGTTGAAGAAATCCACAAACTTCGCTTGGAGCGAGGAGCAGAGTGGACACAAGTGTACCACTCAGAGGTGTGTGAGCTGAGGAAGAGGGTAGAAGAACTTACCATACAGAAATGTGAAGCAGAGCTACAGAGAGATAACTTTGCTGAAGAGTTGCAAGAATTGCAGGAATTATGGGAACAGGTGAGAAGCATAAGACTCAAGATTGACCAACAGCTAATACTTTACAAGCAAGATCTGCAACAAGCGCAGCAAAAACAGGCTGCTTTGGAGCAGCTGTACATTCAGTTGCAACAGGAGTGTCAGATGCTTCAAGGTTCTCATGAAGAGGAAATTATAGCACTGAGGGATCAGGCTTTTCAGATTCCATTGCAAATTACCATGCAGGAGGTTCTGCGACCCAAACTCAGCTTAACAGATGTACAGAGCTTCTCACTAGAACTGTCCGAGTCATGGAAGGAAGCTTTTGTCTTCTATCAAAAGAAGATTGAGGAGCTAGAGAGCATCCTGAGGCGGAGTGAGGAGGACCGACATGGGGCAGAAGAAGAAATCACAATATACAGGCTACAGGTAGAGAAGCTCTGCAAGGAATATGAGGAGCTTCTGGCCATGAAAACTATGCTTGAAGATGAGCTGCTTAGGATGAAGGCGAAGTACAGGCTGGAGGTGGAGGAATATCAGGTAGGTGTATCAGGATAATAGATTCATATGATAAGGTCACATTTGAAAAACCTAAGGAGGACTTGTGGCTATATGTCAAGTGTCTCCCAATTTACCAATATTTGATGTCTCTGATCATGTCCACTGTAGGATAGTAAAACAATAAGACAAGTTAGACAACCTTGTTTAGTTGTTATTGTTCCCTTTGCAGATAAAATGGTGCAAGAGTTGCCATATCATAGGCTCTGCCCTCTTAGCCCCCTACCCTCTTTATGAAATTTAACTACAAGCGCAACCAAGCCAATCTTCCAAGTGTGTGCTTTTTCACCTTCTTTATCGAAGGGTGGTCAGATTATGTATGTCCAAATACCCCTTAAAGTATATCGAAAGCCCAAAGTTTTTGTTTTTGTTTGCTTTTAATTGAATAAAATAGGGAAAAGTTAAACCCCAGTACGTTGTTTTGTCATCTGTGTCCCATTCGGAAGGTATCCCTTCACTTCCTGTCCTCTAGACCCAACAGTAAGCAAGAGGAAATCTCTCCAAAGTGTAGGAAATGCCCTTATGAACAACTGTCACCAGATCAAGTATGCCCATCAAAAGATTACCCCTCAAAATTAAACTTTTAGATTTTCCTAAACACTTGGTGCTGGTCAAAGTGGTCACTAGAATAAATAAAGAGTGCCTCCCCAGCAGGGACTAGGCAAGTATAAAAACCTAAAAGGCGTTCTTGGGGACACCGTCATCCTTTCATTTCTTTTTCCTGGTGTCACTGGGACAGGAGGTGTGAGGAGATCTCCCCAGTGCGGTCACAGAAGTTTTGACTTTTACCAAATGCATTAAAACTAACAGAAAAGTTGGGAGCCAACTTTCATTCTTCCATACTGAAAAGAGAGAATCTGGTTGACTTCTGGTGGTTGTACATGCACTGTTTGAGACAGCTATCATACCTCCCAACTGTCCCTGATTTGTAGGGACTGTCCCTCATTCTTTCTCACTTGTTGCTCTTTTTGGTCTAATGTATAGATATCTATTTTAAAAAATACAGTATAAATGAAAATTAATGGTGAACAACAACAATTCTGGGTTTAACCAATCATTTTTGGTATATACATTTTTAATGGTCGTCATAACTTGGAGCATGGCAGGGGTGTGTCTTTAATACATTGGGGGGAATTTATCAAAACTGGAGCAGAAGAATCTGAAGCAGTTGTCCATGGCAACCAATCATCTTCTCTCTTCAGTTTGTTCAGTTAAGATTTCAAAATGAAAGATAGAAGCTGATTGGTTGCCATGGGCAACTGCTCCAGACTTTCTCTGCTTCATTTTTGATCAATTCCCCCCATAGTGCTTGAAGGCATCGATCTTTCTCAGCTCAGAAAGTTATATAGGCTGAGTTATTCCCACTGGCACTTTAATAATTAAGTGTCAGTGTGTTTCTGAAATTGGAGGAGTACCTGGAGGAAACTCACATAACATAACAAAGACCATACAGATGTGACAACCAAAACCAGCATCCCAGTGCTGTAAGGCCAAAAGCTTTCACTAGGCCAGATTACGTCATTTTCTAACCTTAACCCTAACCAAAAATCAGATGAATAGCCCTACTCTTAGTATGATGGTATACTTTAGCACAGCCAAGTTTGTTCTTAACTCCAGGTATGCAAAGGTAACCCTTGCAGTGAGGCTACCCCCATCCTGCAAGGGTAAACTTTTCGTTTTTTCCCTAGGGGCCGGAAAAAAAAGAAGAAATACTTCCCTAATCATTGGTCCTGTGTTGGGGAGTGCTAACCTCTCTCCTCCTTAAAGGAGAACAATGAGATGAGTGATTTTCACTCATCCTCATAGTTCTAGCCAACCTGTGACAATGAAACTGTCACAGGTCGGCTCAGTAGATCGGGAAGTGAGCGAACACATACCGGCGTTCGCTCACCTCTCGATCCTGTCACTGCAGAGAGCCATGACAGGGGAGTGACCGGATTCCCCCCTCCCCTGTCAGATCCTCCAGCGCTGATTGGCGGAACGGACAGGGGAGGGGGCGCTACAGCTGGCTCTGCCTCTAGATAGGCAGAGCCAGCTGTCACTCACGCAGCTGGGTGGATCCAGATATAATTGTCGGGATCCGTTTCAGCTGCGGTGTCTCAGTATACAGCTCGCGGTATATTGAGCTTTGGGTGACGGGAGGACGCTAGTTTGTGTCCTTCCGTTACCCTTAGGAGAACTATGGGGAAAAGCCCTAACCCCATAGTTCTCCTTTAACTCTGGCTGTGCTATGTCTCTCGGTGTCCTCACATCTAATGCAGGTGAATGAGCTGCATTAGATGTGATGACGTCAGTGGATTTACACTGCCGGAGTCTGGGGGAGAAGAGGCTGTGGGGACCGGTTTAGCAGCCAGGCAAGGTCAAGTATCTGGTGAGTATATTTTATTTGAGCCCCCTAGAGAAAAATGAGCAGTTAGCCCATGCAGAGTGGGGGAAGCCCCACTGCAAAGGCTAACTTTTTACATTCCTGGAGTTCCTCCGGTAGATACCTGTGGATATGGACATTGGGGAAACTGCACAGAAATACCACTGTACTCTTTCACTACTTCCACACAAGATAAATTGGCCATAATTGGAGAAAGTGGGGCAGCACTAATCACATTGCATTTAAATTCTGTCACTAACTACTGTATAGAATATAAATCAGTATACACAGATAACTGAATATCACTATCTCAGCTTATTATGTATTTGGAAAAACATTCCCTTGTCTAAGAAATGTGGAACTTTGTCTGGCTTTATGTAACTCTGTGTTGCTTTAAGATTCCTACTATATTAAATAACCAAGCACAGCATAATGTCTATGTGAGATAATAATAGTAAATCCCATAAATGATAATCCTTCCAGAATCTACTGTGTGTTGCTTCTGATAATAAACCGCAAGCTCATACACCTGCTGTACACATAGACAGTGAGACTGAGCCAGTGTAACAAGAGACATGGTACATGAAATCATTCACATGTCCCTCATCAACTTCTTCTTGAGTTGAGGACCGATGACAAGCTTGTTTTGCTGTGTAATGCACTGGTTAAATCATTGCAGTAATTTTATTTTTACTTTCTCTAGTCAGTTATCAAAATGCAAATGCAGACACTATAGGATCACATCACTAATTCTGACCCTTTAAAACGTTCCTTGAAACCCATTGAAGGGAATTTTTACTTTCTCTAGTCAGTTATCAAAATGCAGACACTATAGGATCAAATCACGAATTCTGACCCTTTAAAACGTTACTTGAAACCCATTGAAGGGAATTTATTAAAACTGGAGCAGAAGAAATATGGACCAGCTGTGCATGGCAACCAATCAGCGCCTCTCTCCCATTTTCAAATCTTAACTGAACAAATTGAGGAGAGAAGCTGATTGGTTGCCATGCGCTTGGGCGGGAAACCGGCTTCCCAGCCAATCAGCATCGAGCCAGCTTCCAGGCCAATCAAGAAGCCTGGCGGTGAGTAATGACCCACCTCCCAGCTTCCTGATTGGTCGGCTCGATGCTGATTGGCTAGGAAGCTGGACCACCTTTAGCTTTAAATACGGCAGACATTCACCGTGGCATCGTATCCATAAGCTCATGCAATGTCACAACTAGACATGTGCAATTCGTTCCGGAAAAAATAGTTTTTCGGATGAATTTTCGTTATTCGGAGATTTAGATGTAATTTCCGAATAACAGAAATGACGAATGAAAATGAATCCGAAAACGAAATTTCGGACGAAATTCGTTAGCAGTAGTCTGTACGCATTTTCGTTTGTGCGCAAATTTTTGTTGCAGCAAAGTGACAATTTTTTTTTTAAACTACCGCTAACTAATTTAATCCGAATCCCGAAACGAGTTGACTTTCGGACCAGAATAAAAAAAAAAAAAATAACGCAAAATCCGAAACAAAACGGCACAAATGTTTTGCCGGTGCACATGTCTAGTCACAACATGTATTTCTGTCCAGAGCTGCATTAATTTTTCTCCAAGATCTTGTAGTGATGAATGGGTAGAGTCGGACCACTGTGTAAAGTCTTCTCCAGCACATCCCAAAGATTCTTTAATGGGGTTAGGCTGGGTTCACACCTGGGCGGATTGAATATGCGCGTCTTCCGCGCGTTTTTTTTACCGCGATTCGCGGTAAAAAAAACGTGCGGCAAACTCGCGTTTCCGAGGGATACTTGGCTGTATCCCAATGGAACCGCCCGACCAAAACGCCCCAAAGAAGTACATGTACTTCTTTGGGCGTAGTGCGGTTTCCCGTGCGTTCGTACTCGCGGAAAACCGCACAGATGGGAACCATACACATTGAAAATAATGGCATTTCCCTGCTTGAGCGGTTTTCAGCGAGTACGAAAGCGCGGAAAACCGCCTAGGTGGGAACCCAGCCTTAAGGTCTGGACTCTGGTGGCCAATCCATGCGTGAAAATGTCTCATGTTCCCTGAACCACTCTTTCACAATTTGTGCCTGATGAGTCCTGTCATTGTCATCTTGGAATTTGCCCAATGTGCCATCAGGGAAGAAAAAAATACATTTAACATTGCAGAAGCTAGACCTATTATCCAATGGAAGGCTCTGACCTATTTGCTTAGCTAAATCCAGGTGGTGACTTTTTTTGGGGGGGCAGGCAATGTATAATCCACAGTGCTTTTCTTGCTTTTGTTTGAGAATAATATGGGAGCAGAATGATGCTACCCTCTTCTTAGTAAGATGGTGTTCATGATGTACAGTAATTCGGTGCTTAAGGCATGTTGTTTGAAAAACAATGATAGGTCCCTGCACTAGAAATGACAGGATGGCCTTCTAGTCGACATTCATAGTGAGACTATCTCCAAACAGCCAACATTTATTTAGCCAATAAAAGTTTGATGACCACAGTGGAAAATACTGTCCGAGTACTAATACTTTGGTTGGATATGTAACATATTGGCATGTTTTCCTGTTTTACTAATACAAGGTTTACCCCAGCAATTTTACAACAATTCGCACCTTCAGCCATGTA